TGTCAGTGGGAGGTTTATAACACTGGCCGTGACCTATAGAGGAGACGTCTATTTCGTTCCCGTACTGTATCCGTTTTGTGTGATTGCACATGTGGTATGCTATAAGTTTAAATAAGGGGCACTCCATATTTACTTACTGAGTTTATCTCATAGTTTTTCCTTGTCCACCATTTTAGGAAGTGAAACCGAGGACAGGGAAACCACGGGAAGTGACGAGTTAGAAGGCTAGCCACTTGTAAATTGAACATAGATTTAGATATAAATCATGATCTTGTAAACTAGATTATATTGGAGATTTTATGATATCAGAGTAAATTTTAAAGATTTGATCTTCAGATTTTGGTGGTATCAAAGTGTGATATGATAAGTTCCGAGCCTTGTGCACTTGTGGGACCCGTCTCACGAGTGTGCGGCGTCTGTCGCATCTCGAAATTGGGTTTTGGGGCGTGACATTCACTCTCTCTTCTCCCTTCGTCTTTCTCTCTCAAACCCAGATCTAGGTTTTTCTCAAACCCAAACCCAGATCTGGGTTTTTCTCAATCTGGTGAAAATTCATACATTAAAATGAAAAATACAAGCAATAAACACCATACAACTAACAAATTTATTCATTAACATATCGCTCCTACATTTTTTTCACAAACACCACACACAAATTCATGATGAAGCAAGCTGCGCACTGGCTCGGTTTGTGCTAGACCCTTGCACGTGGCTCCGGACGCCTCAAAGTCTGTACTTGTTCCTCTTGCTCCGCTCTCCTATCTTCCTCCCTTTCCTCTGCCCAACTTTTCCTCTACTCTGTGCCACGGAGTTCTGCTTCTGGGTTTGTCGTGAGAGGACAAGAAGGAAAGCGGTTGCACGGCAGTCAACAAAAAAGGAAGAGCGGCTGCAGGGATGCGAGGAGGGGTGTGGGTGAAATAATGAAGGGGAAGAAAGTGAGGTGGGGTTACTGCAACGGCACTTGGAGGATTAATTGATGTCACTTGCTCTCTCTCAAACCCAGATCTGGGAGGACAGCCACACACAAAAAAAAAAAAAAAATCTTCTTTTTGCCAATTTTGATCTCATTTTGTCACCATCTTCCCAGATCATCTTTCCGATTTCATCATCTTCACCAATCACCTCCAAATAGCCACTCCCTCAACTCAAAACCATAGAAAACCTCTTGTATTTCTTCTGTGATAGCCGCACAAAAGGGATAAAAATGTCAGAAAATTCAACTTGTGCTCTCGGTGATTTTTGTAGAAACAACAACGGAAGAGATGGGAGAGCAAAAGGGCGATTTCTAGCATACTTTAGGTGAGATTTAGGTGACTAAGGGAGGGCTTTGCTATTTTGCTGTGGTAAGATAGAAGAGTAGAGGAAGGAGGTCAACATTTGTACCGAAAAACTACAGATCTGCATTTGTTTGCTTCTTATGTATAAATCTTAGACATGAAACAGTTAAGAGAGAACTTCCTGTGGGTGGGGTATTTCCTTTCAAATTCTAATATGCTTCCCTTGATTTTAGGTTGA